AAAAAATAATAAAATTTCCTTGTTGTGAAATTCAAGTGTTAGTTAAAACAATAGCATAAAGATGCATGCATTCTACCAAAAATTAACATATAATTACAATAAGCACTTTAATTTATTACGGAGTGCTCATTGACCATGATTTTACACGAGCCCTACATGCTGCAGATTATACAAGCATTATCCGAGAGAATAAAGGTCAAGTTTTTCCCTATAGTTGCTTCTGTACCGTTTTCAATTGCATTAAAGCCTTTGGGAATTATTCGTACACTATAAAATATTGGTAAGATGCAAATGAATATATTGAGGGGGGAAGCCCAAACAATCCTATCTGACTTTACGTAGCTACTACAACGTTTTCAGCGTAGTTTGGTAAATCATGAAGACCCTTGCTCCAGATTTTAATTTTAGCGGGATTTTGAAGATCACAAATAAACTTTTGACCTTATACGATTTCGCAAGCCTTTTTAAAAATAATGCTTATTAAGTGATAAAAATACCTTAAGCTCTTTTGGTACCCTTCTTTGGTAGATTATCTACCCCTTAACTATCATGTATGTTGCTAAGATCAAATACCCCATACATTTATGAAGCAGTGTTTCATCTGTTAATAAGATACATATCTACATGATGTCTTGTCCAATTATTTTAGCTTATCTGTGCATTATCAGAAAGAACGATTTAGAAAAAAAAAAAAAAAACTCTTTGCTCACTCAAAATATCTCGGTTTAACAAATTGAAAATATGTCTTTGCAACAATTAAATAAGAAAACTTACCAGAAGATTAAAAAGCCACAATCTTAATACTTCGTCTGGTGACGTGCAAAGTTAGAGTTCATAATATTTGAAGCCGGCTTATATGTTAAGTGTAGCTTCTGAGTTTAAATATTGATTTCCTATGACCCAGAAATAGTAGGTTTTGTTAAGTTTTAGCTTTACTACAAGCCGCAGCTTTTACCTTTTTAATATTTTTTTATTTATTTATAATCTTGAAATTTTTTAAGCAATGGACGGTTAAACTGTTGCATTTAAGTAGCTAATTAAGGTTAACGTTACAACGTTTAATAAAAGAAATTAAACTTTCATGTAGAATCGTAAGCAATATAAATTGTATAAGCAACGGAACATGATATTCAAGTATTATATGACTTCTTAAGGCCGAGAGCAAAGGCAGCTTTAAAAAGGTCGTCGTGGTCCTCAAGAGATGGAAAAATCAGTGCATGATGTTACCGATTGGCACAAAAAGCTTCCATGTTATGATTTCAGGAAGTTTGACGAGTGTTATGTCGAGATTTTCAATTTTTAATATGTGTTTTAAGTTATTATTATTCTAATATTTTTATTTGTATTCATGTGTATTTTAATCTGAAAAAAAAGTATTCTTAAGCTCTTAAGGTTTTATTTAACTCATTATTCTTGAGTTGGAATTGTGACAAAGGCGAGAGACGGTTGCGAGGACACACATCTGGTTTATGGCCTTTTCCAACAATGGAGGCAGTTGGGAGTCGTGTGTCGCCCTTTTAACTCTTTGCGTGGGAAACGGAAATCGCTTTGTTAAAGTTTGCAGTCTTGCGAACTTCAAGACAGTGGGAGGTGTACTAAGTTAGATAATTGGATACTCGTTTCGCTTTTAGTTGGGGTCTATTTTTTTTTCTCACGTTATGAGTGCAATGTTTTGGGATTTCATTGTCAGATTTTTGGGTTTGATTCGCCATGGGTGTGTGTCATTTTCTCAATTTAGATAACATATAATTCCGGGAATGGTAAGATTAATTTATGATTTTTTGAAAGCCTATGAACTCACAGAGGCGGAGAAACCGAGATTTCCTGGGTGTGCACCAGGCTAGAGATCATTCTGTTTTCCTGATTTCTTCAAGTAAGAGTAAGAGAGGAGTGGGGGCTTGACCCTTGCGGGTTTGCTCTCGCGGGCGCCCGGCTATTGCGTCGGATTTGGAGACATTTGAGTTGCGAAGAGTAAGGCAGTAAAAGAAAAAGTTCGGTGCGGCTTTACCTCCTGCGGGGGGCTTACAACTCGGTCTGAGGCGAGTTTTCTCGCCGCTTTCCTGTGAGAGAATTTGTTCGCACGGAGAAAGTGCTCTACGCACAATTTGATTTTACCGTTTCATCGCGTATTTAGTGATCTTGAATGTCATGTTAGAGGCTTTCCAGTTAGAATTGTTCGTCATAGACAGGAGGATTGGTTACAACTAAGAAGTTTGTGCCAAAGTGCTCTACCCAAAATTTAGTTTCGTCGCTTTCGTGTATTTTGGAGACTGAAAGTCATGTTTGCGACATTCCAGTTGAAGAATTTGTCATGAGATACAGATTTGTTCCAGAAGGAGGCATCATGCTCTCTCGTTCCTGAGATCAATGGACGCTTCTGAAAGTGTTTTGACAGAAAAAAGATTGGACCAAGATCTTTCTTTCGGAAATTGTCTCTCACTTAATGGACATATTTAAGGCGGTTCGTGAATCAATGGACGCTTCTGAAAGGTTTTGAAAAAAAAAATGTTTTAGCTCATTTCCAAGTGGATTGGACACTAAGATCTTCAATCCAGAAAACTGTCTTCCATTGTGAGTGATTTTAAATTGTCTACCTCTCTATCTTTCAAATTCTCTTAAACGGAAATTATTATTTTATATATGTAAACTACTAAATGATTAGAATATTTGAATTGACTAATAATTTAAAGTCTGTAAAGAAAGGTTTAAAGATTTGTTTTACCGGCTTAATTGTGGCTATTGAACGTCAAAATAGTAAACTTACAAATTAATATGAGTATGTTATTTTGGAATAGATATGTGTTATTTTCCATCTTAAGGTATTTAATTTTTGTAAGCTGTAATGCGTTGTGACATTATGTGGTTACTTACAAGTAAAATATGTTGTAGGATACTGATCAGTTATCCATATTTAATTATATAATATATTCAAGAATTTAATAATGTGTGTTAAAATTAATTGCATTGTGTCTTTATGTAGCGTATAATTTATGTGGTCTGTCATGTCCTCCTTTGTTTGAGCGGAAGGCTTTACGAAACATGGAGTTTAATGAATTTGGAGTTATTGATTTTCCTTACATAGGTTACTCACAACGCAAACCTAAAAGTAATTGTACTGTACGACCACTATACGATGATTGATAGATATGATATACGATTGATGATAGTTTACTATACGAATATATATAAGAATGTCGAAATGATATATAATATTATGAATTAGATTTGAAATGTGAATATTTGATTTTTTTTTTTTTTTTTTTTTTTTGTAATTTATCCGGCACCACAGTCAGCAAAGTTGTCAGTTAAGTTAAAATTATAATGGAATAAGGTATTAAAACAACAACATAAAAATTTTAGATATAACATTGATGCCGTGACCAGGATAAATTGTAGGATAAAAATAATTAATTTTAGATATAACACGAGTAAATTCCAAGTGGCTCTAATTTCTGCTTCTCATCACAATTGTCATGTGACAGGCGAAAATTAAAAGTGAAATTATCTTGCAGAGACATGGTAGTCAGTTTTCCATTCAAAACTTATGGGAATATTCGCCATTTTCCGTTCAAGAAGTATTTTTATTGTATCTTCAGTTTTTTCCTTTCAGAAATTCCAAGCTCGAATTCGATTTTCTTGATGGCTTTAACAGTTGCGAAGATTCCTGAGAATTTCCGCTTCAGTGAAAAGTTTAACAAGACGGAATGAATACATCTTTATTTAACTGAGCACACCAAAGCAAAGGATATTTTCTTAAGATAAGCTATGCCTTTTTAATGAAGTTTATAAAAAGTTGGCTTTTATTTATGTTACGAATGAAAAAAACAAGGAAAAAACTCATCCAGTTAGTTCGTTTACTGAGATTCAAATTTGGGTTTGCCTATTAGAGATTTATGGTTTAATATAGAAAAGCATCTTGGAAAAGCGGGAATGGAAAATTATAAGAGAAAATCCCTCCATTCGAACTGGCAAAAATTACTTTATTTCACTTCCTTTTATTTCAAGGGCAGCATATAAGCACATCACTTACACAACGTTTAATGTAAGTGCATGAAAAACTGCGAAATAAAGATAAGGACAGCTTGCGCTTTCACTTTATGTCCAAATTGATAATCGCATTTTCTGGTCTGGAGCTTTTAGAGCCTCTTTTCCTCTCTGATTAAGGCAGATAGCTCTCGCGTGAATAGCCATAATCCAAATAATCTAACCTTCATTTGTTTATGTCCAAATGATTTTTTTTCTTCTCTGCAAGACGTAAAAAATGTCAGATCTTCTAGGAAGCTTTAAGGTTTTTTAGAGAATATAAAGTTAAAATACTTTGATTTTCTGCTTTTAAACAGTTTTTACTAGCATTCACTGGTTAGGAACAAAATTCTTCCAATATATACGTAATATCACCAATATATACGTAATACCTAACAAAATATTAACATCACAAAACTGAATGAAAGCAAAGGAGTTTATTTAAATCCAAATAAATACCCCTGTATTACGTTAAAAATTGAATAGGCATTTAAATTAAAGTTTACTTTTTAAGCCAGTTAAAAATAAAGAATTAATTTCAAAAACAAAATACCATTCATTCATAAGCAGTTATGTTTTTCACAGAAGATAAAAGTGATTTAAAATACGTTTTCGTTTTAAATATTGTTAAAGAAAATTAATATAGATTCTAATTTCACTACATGCTGTAATTTTTGTGTACTTTTCTTGATCTAATTTTGAAATCAAATTGACTTTCTTTTAAAGATTGTTAAGCAAAGAAAATAAATAAAAATAAATAATTTATGCTACTTAACGAACTATGTTCTCTTTCTTGAATTTAACACTTAAACATTTAATCATTGGTATCTACACCTAATGCATTAAAAGATTTTAAATGTAATGCAAAGGTAAATCTGAGACGCCTTTGAGCAGACTATAGCATCATACAAAATGTTTTCCGTGCAGTAAGGCAGCGTTATCGACTTTGTGAAGAAATTATTTTTCATTTTGCTTACCTCTTTTTGTCATATTTCCTAGTCACCCATTAACATTTTCTCCTTTATGCTGTATACAGGCTAATTATAAAAAATGTAATTAATGTTCTGCTGAAATAGGGCACGGATTAATAAATATGAAACTAAACCATTAAAAATACTGTACAGAACTTCTTCAAATATGCAATATAAATTAAAAAATAAATCTTGGCAACGATCCGTCTGAAGATATTTATTTTTAACTAAGCATAATTGTAATATATCTTCCTAATAAATTTAATCTAATCCTTAAATTGCACCTATAAGTTTTCTTTAGACAGCGTGCTTATTTAGTTTCTTAAGAATTCTATAAATTTAATTTATGGAAATGAAACAAATAGGTTTGACACAAATATGAAAAAAAAAAAAAAAAAAAAAAAAAAAATCTGAAATGTTTCAGATTTTAAATTACGTCCAAAGGGGCGTTTTTTAACATTTTGTGTGTTACCTTTCTTTATTAAATATCATGTTCCTCGCACTTAAACCATAAGATCCAGTGCAACAGCAATATCGCAAAATAGTTTTAAAACGAGCATATCTTTAGAATTTCCGATACAGAGACTCACGCGCCGCAGATAAAAATGTTTTTTTTGCACAACGTTGCCATTGCTCGCTTTGAAATCCTTGAGTTTGTTAATCAAAAATTCGTCAAAGTTTTAAAAATAGGAAATCGATCATAAAACAAATTTCAAATTTCAAATTTGGTCTTCCACATGCTCATATTCGTTGGAGGATTACGTTATTCAAAATTCGATGACTCTATGTACCGTTGTTTTATCACAATACGAGAAATATACATACATTTATGCAGATTTTTCATTATTTAATTTCTTCAAATATAATGCAGGACTCTAACATTTTGTGGCAACAGTTTGAAAAGTGAACCGACATTTATGAGTCCGACGCAAAATGCCAAAACGAAACTAATAGTCCTTCGGGATTCAAATCCCTTTGGACTAAAAATAAATCTTGGCAACGATCCGTCTGAAGATATTTATTTTTAACTAAGCATAATTGTAATATATCTTCCTAATAAATTTAATCTAATCCTTAAATTCACCTATAAGTTTTCTTTAGACAGCGTGCTTATTTAGTTTCTTAAGAATTCTATAAATTTAATTTATGGAAATGAAACAAATAGGTTTGACACAAATATGAAAAATTATTCTAGGAAGCCATCAGAACTGATAAAAATTTAAATAGGCAAATATTTGAACTTGTATAATAACAGTCAAACTTGTTTTAAATAAATATTTAAGTAATATAGTCTACTACTAATATTATTATAGGAAATGAATCCAACTTACTCTTTACATTTGGGAATTGCAATAAAATGATTTTGCAAATTTTAAAATTGATTTTCCTAATTAAATATTTCGGTATAAATTGCTCTTCTGTTTTTATGTGATAATTAAATATCAAGGATAAAGTTGTTGAAAGGGAAAGCAACTGGAAATTTGTCACCACAGAATTATTTTAATTTAGATTTTGTTCTTTGTTCTTTAAACAGTACTGTTTGATATCCTAAGACATTTCGTAAGAGGTATAAATTATATTCATCAAAACAGTTTAGATTTTTGTGTCTCTAATTAGATTTTATATATCCTTCAGCTATCTGATGTTTTTTTTCTACCTTTATCTGATAGTCTGTCAGTTTTTCCTACCACAGTAATATTAACATTATTTGTTTACATTATCTGGTAATAAATTAGTTTTGCTGGATACTTTTTGTAAACAATCTTTACCAACTAAAAAGGAATCAGCCAGGTTTTGCGGACCTGGCTCCTTTTTGGGGAAATGTAATCAATTTCGATATATTTTTAAACCACATATTTAAAATATAAAGAAATGTATTTCTAAATCTTAATTATTTTCTTATACTTGAAATATCATGTAATTGCTTTTTATTTTAAAGCGAATATTGCTAATATTCGTTTAATGCGACTAACATAATGATTTTAATTTAGCTCTTTGTCTTGTAAAAATGGGAATAACATAAAAAGTAATAACGTAAGCAACTTTTTCTATCCTTCTAAGATATTCGACCTTTTCAACAAAGCCGCGCGAATCTAAAATATAGTTTCTGTACATTAGAACTGTTCCCAAATGCTTCTGCAAATGCGTTATTTTCTTTCTTTCGCTTTCTTTCTTTTTTAAATCGGAAAGGTCAAAGATCAGACTGAGAGCAGGTCGAATATGAGTATGTTAGGTTAGGTTAGGTTAGGTTATTTAATTACGGCAAAGTCTCGAGGGATATCTGCCTAAGGGAAGGAATGCCTTCGTGGATGACTTTTTAAGGGAACTGGTTCGTATACACGTTACACAAGGAGAATAGGAGTATGAAATAATGATCTAATAATGTAATTAGTTAGTAATCGACTCAAAAGTATCACATGACAGGTTGAGCAGACTCGTTAAAACTATCTTTAAATTCATAGACTTTCAGGATTAATTGAAATTCATTGCATAAACGATTAGGCTTGAAATCATAAGATGACATTACTATTACAGATTTTGGAGATCATTTGCTGTAAAGTTAATTTAAATATATTTCTATGAATTTGTTTAATTATGCAAACCACACAAAAATACAGTCCAACCTCTGTTAGCCTCGCACTTCTCTCTCCTTGGCCCTATCTATATAAATAGAGGGTCTCTGTTAACCAATCCAGCAATTAATTTCAAAAAATCATTGGGAAAACAACGCAAATCAGCAAAATTACCATCACATCTACAAACTATTATCAACAGCGTCCGAAAGAAATTCCCTGAATCTTTGGTTGATTGGTTTATTTGAACGAAAACGAGTTCTTTGTGTGAAAGGTCTACGAGAGAAAGAACTTCAAAAACACTTTTGAATGAAAATGAAAAAAACATGAACACTTTTGAATTAGTTGTGTCCCACTTAACTAGTGAGAACATCGGTTCCAGAGAAACGTTTCTCCTAGTGCCCTATTATCCGTCAATAAACTGTCTTGTGTATAATAGTAGAAGATGTAGTTTACATCTGTTAAAGATGGAATCAATTCTAACTGGCACTGATTCCTAGATAGTTGTTTTCAAGGGCAAAGGCATTGCTCAAGATGAAGCTTCGAAACGAAAACACAAAACAGCGAATCAAGTTTAGAGTGATGAATAAATCATTCGCAGCGTAAATATGAAGAATAATGAAATTTGGAAATGAGAGTAATGTTAAAGATAACAATAAGAAGGAAATGTTAAAATTTTGCTATGCCCAAATTTTGATTTTGGTTTCTTTTTGTTAATGGTAAAGCATACCAGAGCTATTTGCTTAAGAGTGGGGATAACTTCGTTCCTAAACCAAATTCTGTTATTCACATTCTACATAGGGGAAACCAAGAAAATGATGGACACACCCGTTCAATCATCTCATTCACCTTGGTTTGATTGGTCAAAACCTGGGTTGAATGTGAGCCGGTAGATGAAGTTTAAGTACTGTTACAAAAAACGGGTAACAGACGTTTTAGGAAACCCTGATGTCTCATGAAAATACATGTTAGAAATTTGAAATGGTTCCAGAGTTAATATGAATTTCTATAGATGAGTTTGCGTGGATTTTTCTATCAAATGTTTACAATTTTTCTTCTAATTTATTTTACTTAATGACTATTTTTTATCACCAAACAGAATTTAGCAAAAACATTTTCTCAATTAAGGAAGTTTTAGCAGAGGTGATTACGATCTTAGATTCCTCAGATAATCGAGGTCTTGCTGTATTGTTAAATTCTTCGATCCCGTGTATTTTAAATTTTCAGACTATCCTCCAAAACCCATATATGTAACTGTAAAATCTATTAAACCTCCATAAATTATGCAAATTTAGCTGTGTGTAAACAAGCACAGTATTTGTAAGTTTACCATTTGATCATTCTTATTTTTTAATTTATTATACCATGACATCATTGTTTGTTTGTGAACTTGCCCACTGGAATGAGATTGGCCAAACAAGAACCATCGACTTGGAAAAATAAAAGAATTGCAGTGAATCATTATGGAAGTTATCACCTTCGTCTCGTTTATCTTGTAATCCTTGGAAAACCTTTTATTTCATTTTAAACGGAAGTTAAATGTTAAACTCAAACTCCTATCTACTGCAATTTCGTTTACTGTCTTACAGACGTAGCTTGATAAAATTTAAATGAAAGGAATAAGTAAGGATCAGTATTCATATTTATCAGAGTTTCAATTATGTTCTTAAAAATACTTGAGAGACTCGATCTCAGAAACTAATTTTCAGTTTTAGACCTTTAATTCGAAAGTTATGTTTTAGAAAATTAATTTTCAATAAATTTATCTGATATTACTTTTAGTTTATGATCATTTTAGTTAAAATAATGCTTGAAGTTTAAGTTTAATTAAGTATACACTGATACAAGATATTTCATTTCCAAACACGTGTTAATTAGGATTTCAATATTAAACTTAAAATACATTCATATACGATGCAAACCATCTGTATGTTTGTGCTGTTTATAATTATTTTCAAGTCAGTTTTGGTAAGAGTAAAACAAGCCTTTTCATCCAAATTCAGTATGCTATTATTTCGAAAAATATCTAGTTAAGCATTCGCTGCGATTTCAAAAATGATATGAAACGTTATAAATTTTATTTGCTGGGTGTGTGTAAATGATAAATGCATAATAAATATTTTATTTAATAATCGTTCCTGTGTCTTATTCATTTAACGCAGTAATTGCTTTAAGATTAAAAACTATACAAAGAGAGGGAGAAACGTATTTTGGTTAAAGAAAAAATTAATGAGGAAAGAGGTTTAATATTTATAATGGATTAAAATGGAAGTTTCATACTAAAAAGCTTAAACTGAAAATTTTTTCCCTTTTATTTTATCCCTTAAAACTGTTAAATATAGTGGATTGGAAACCTGTGAAACGATTGGAATGTTGTTATTTTACTTTGATTGCATGAAAGGCTGAAGTACATATAGATCTGATTATTTGAGTTTTATCGCTTCATCATAATTTTCTATTTAAATCGTAATTAAAATAAATAGATTAATAAATTAAAATGTATTAATAAATCAAGCTGAATTAAAACCATTTAATTTTTCTGAATA